GTCAGCAGCCACTTACAGTCTGATGAACCACCTTACAGCACCTTCTACGGGCAGAAGAGCAGAAACCTGCTACCCCAGCCAAGATCCCAAGTGCTGCTCCTCAGAGACAGGAGCTCACTGGTGGCAGACTGAAACAGTGCTGGCTGCACACATGCTGCCTGCTCTCTGGATGCACAGCTGACCTGACACTCACCCTTCATGCTCCCCTTTCACTTGTTAGTGCGCACACTACAAACATATCATCGCTGGCCACAGCAGTTACTGGGACATTTATAATGTGAGCGGGCTGTAACCAAAACACGTGGTCTGGGAGTTTGCAGGGAGCTTGAAACAATGGCTATTGGGCAAGGAGCATCCCATTTATCTGTGCAATGTTAACTCAGACATCCAATGCCAACCATGTATGTGTCAGAAGCTGTTAGCCGCTTCACTAGTAATTTGAGAATCAAGCACATGGGGCATCGCATCGTTCCACACCACTCGCTGTGAGTGATATCTCCTCTTGATACCACAGTGGGCAGCATCTAGGAAGCACCAAATCACCTTTTGTAAAAAAAAAGCTACATGAGCACATTCCCCTGCTATACTGGTGCAAACACAAGCCCAGAGTAAAGTAAAGCCCAGAAAGCTTGCACAATAGTATCTTTAGTGTAAGCACAATTAATCATATGAGAAGATTCTCTTGCAGACTAATTTTGCAGATATTTGAGAGTAGCACAGCTTCTCCAAACAATGAAATTCACAGTCAAAAGAAAAAATTAAAGAAAATTAAAACTTTCTCAGTATGATATCTAATTCCTTTGGTCAATGCAGGCACCATTTACAGGCTTTTATACAAAACACTGAACTTTTAAAAAGTCCTTATTCCATTCTCACAAAATTTCAGTTTCTTTAAAACTTGTCAAATTGTTCAACATTTTAGAAAGAAAAACGTGTATATTGTCAATGCATACACAGATAATAATAATGATAATACTGAACTATTAATTTTCTGCTAAAAAATGTTTATAGAAAGTACTTTTCCTTTTTTCCACTTCTGTAATCACACCTCAGCATAATACAGATTGAGTATTGTGACATGATTGTGGTAAATGAACCTCAAAATTTGTTGTTGTTGCTTCTAAGAGGGAATGGGGTTTTGACTGCTTTTACTTTTAACAAGTTTGCAACATTATCAGCTGCTGAACAGATTTCTATAGGGAGAATCAACAGGGCATCACAGGGAGTCAGAAGTGATGGCAACTATAGAAAGAATGACTGAAGACATATCCCAATTATGGATACAAAAGGATACAAGAGGAAGAGTGCCCAACTCTTACGCTCGCATGCACAAGCACACACTCATTCTTCTCCATGAGGTAGCTTTTTCCCCGATCCCAGACCTATGCTTTTCCCACTCCAGGCTCTGCCTCTGCTTTCTGGAATCAGGGGATTCAACCTTCTTTGTGCTCACGTTGCTCCAGCTGTTTCTTTGTACAAGTTGCTAAGTGGGTTTGTGTGAAGGTCAGACTTATTTCAAAAAAGCAGGCAGTTTCTGTTCGTCAGCAAGTGACAGTTGCACCAAGAAAAAATCCCAAACCTCAGGACTCCTTTTCCTGAGCTGGTGCATGTTTTGACCGACCCCTGCTACCCATGAAAGAACCTCAGCCTCTAAAATACTGCTGCTCACAGCCTTGCTTCCTGCGGGCTTGAATATTTCAGATGCCTACGGAGGTAACTGGGCTCTGGTCATCCCCAGCAGTAGACTTGGTCATCGAACAGAGCAGAGGAAGCTGGTGGCCCAAACTGGTGCATGCCACTCACTTAGTGCTTCTGCAGGGATGAACAAAGCACACAGTGGAGCTGGAGGTTCAGCCCCATGTCCTCATCAAACACCATACAATGAGGATTAACACCGGTTCACAAATCACGTTTCAGGAAAGGGGGAGGAACAGAAGCCCAAAATAGCAGCACTATTTTGTCCCACCTCTTGATCACAAATCATAAAATTCTTATGGAAAGAGATTTTCACCTCTTAAACTTTCAAACACTGAAATAGGGACAATTCTCTAGAGAACACCCCAGGAGCAAAAGGTGAGATCCCCTTGTAAGAGTTCAGGTGTGCTTGCATCAGGGCTGCTAACATACATGACTAAGAGGTAGATTGTGGAAAAAAAGGGACACAGGGGTACTCTGTGCCTCTGTCCCATTGCCTGAGCATCCCCTTAAGCAAGAAAAAACATTATTTACATTTAGTACTCATTGTTACTGAGTTCAAGATGCAGCAAAATCTAATATCCCCAGCTCCTGTCATAGTAGCTGAATGTCATAATTTTCTACTGCTGCTTTGCCTAATTACCTGAACTAACAGAGACAAGGTAAATCTTTTGCACAGCCCAAGACTGTATACATGCATACCATAGCCTACCACTTTCCTTTTGGCTAGAGCTTCCACCAAAACAGAACAACTTTCAGCAAGGAGGGGGAAAAAAAGCAACTGTAAAAAATCAATTTTTAGAAAGAATGTAGCATGATGCCATTTTCCTTATATGGCAACTGGTATCCCATGTGGAGGTTCAAACAATAGCCAGCCTGGCAGGGGATGGGGTAAGAAGATGACTTGGGGGGGAAAAATTTTATATATATATTCCCTGCTGGCCCTCACACTCCATTTCCTCTTGGATTTCTTTGTGACTGCATTGAAAGGGGTCAATAGCTCCCAGCTTGAGAAATGCAGCTTTTGAAAGGAGTATCACCAGCATCTGTATTTAAAGCATGCCTTTTACTTCATGGCCCTCAGCTAATGCAGAGCTTTTAAAAAGCGAGCAGCAAGATAAACTTCCAGGGAAAAGAAAAGGTGAAGAGTGGAGGAGAAACACTTCTTATCCACCTTGGCTTTACTGACACTTTCACTGGAATAAAGCTTGATTGGCAAAGCAAGGACAGGGAACATAAGCTGCAGATGATCTAAAGCACTATGGATCATTATACCTTGCTTCAGTCAACACCTCCCCATCCTTTAAAGTACATTCAAAACCACTACATGAAGTAGCCAAGCACCAAGATGGAAAATAATTTCAAAGGATTAAAAACAATGGGCAAATTAGCACTGAATACTGAACACATCAAAGCTTTGCAACTCAGTCTTCAGTGTTTAAGAATTTCGGATCTGACAAACACAGGCAATCTAGTCAAATTTTAACAAATTTTATCTTGATAATGAAAGACTGATCCAGTGGCTAAATTTGTATTCAGGTTTTCTGTTTGAGGAAATACTCCAGAAAAGCTATGACATGCCAGAACCAGGATTTATTGGGAGGGAGGAGGAACAGGACTATAACCTCCTTTAGTGCCAGGGGATGCAGCCCATGTGGAAGGCTGGCACATGCCCAGTTTTTCAGGACCTCTGGCTCCGCTTCACATTGCAGCCTCATTCAAATATCAATAGCAATTATATTGCAGTTGCTTTCTGTATTAGGATGTGGTTTTTAGTTTGGAAGTGGATGAATCCAAGTGTCCACACACGGAGTTTGTACAGCTCGGCTGTTACTGTAGTCTCCAGGTGTAAACCAGTTGAAACTCCATCCATGTGCTTTAGAATCTAAGAGTTTTCATTAATAAAACTTGTCCAAATTTGAGAAGCAAAACAGGTGAAATCTAATATCCCTCACAGAAGGAACCTCTACTTTGTATTAAGTGGAGACTAGCTAAATAAGACCAGCTATGATTTTCCAGCTCCAATTTATTTGACTTTATATTCATCTGGCTATTTGACCGGAGTCTTTCAGTAAGCATTAGAGAAACCCACAATATTCATCTAAGACAAGCCTGAAATTCGCAGCTGGAAAGGTGGAGTGGTACCTCCAGCAGTACCACACACAGCAAAAAGCTATGTAATATAACTCCTGTCAAACTGTCCAAGAGAGAAATCAAAAATGAGGCCAGAGAATGCTCCAGAAGCAGAGAAGTAAATTGCCTCTGAGAGTCCCTAGCACTGGCAGCGTATGACTTTGCATTTCACTTTAGTTTCCAATCATACTATCTTTCTCACAGGCATTCAAATACATTAGTCTGTGTCTTATCAGATCCTGAATTACCATTGTAGAAAAGCTCCTGTCTGAGAAATGCAGTTCAGAGAGGTTTATGGGGCTGTAATGAGTACTGACAGATAAGCCACACTCATGCAAACACACTTGCAAGTGATGTCTGGTTTAACACAATACAGCCCTAAGCCTTCATAATACAGCATAGGAAACAAAATCCTCCCATTGCCTACTACTAATTGCATCTGCAGTGGTCAGGAGTTGAAAGAGAAGTAAGCAGATTAATTCTATTAGACTGTGCAATAGTATCCCAAGGGGACAAGGGAAAATCCCATCATTTAAATCAGGACTGGTAGACACCGCTGGGAATGATGTTACATACTAGTAGGGGATTAAGAGTTTGGACTAAAGGGCCTCATTTTTTCTAGATCTGGTTTCCATGAGTCATAGTGATTAGAACTGCAAGGCTTTTCTGTTTGTTTTTTTTTCTTTTTTTTTTCACCTAGGGATGACCTGAAACATCTTGCTCAGTTGAAAACTAAATTATTAAATTAATTGCTTACTTAACCCCTTCCCCACAACATACTCTTCCTTATTCCTTTTTCTTTAAAAGTTTTCTGTTTAAATTAAGGTAATTTTTAATATAAAATTGTTTAAGAACAAGAGGTCTAAGTATTGTTTTCTAAATACCTTATATGCAACATTGTTCTTTTTTCAGCATACTCCTCCCACACTTTTAACCTATATTCATCTCAACTATATGAGCAGTCTTGATCCTCTGAAAGTCCTTTTTTTCTGAAAAACATTCCCTGTGCTGTAAATAAAATGTAAGGTTTCACCCCTAAAGACATGGCAGGCAGAGGTGACAAAGCCTCTCTTGAGCCAAATGAATGGAAAAAGTCCTCTGCCGAATCCAATGCAGCAAGCCCAGACCCAGCAGCAGCTGAGCCTGAGCATCAGGAGCACTGTCTGCCTTACCTGCGTGCTGCTTTGAAGGGAAAGACTTTCAGAGAAATATTTGTTCTCCTCAAGAAGAAGTCAGGTTGTACTGATCATGCATTGGGCAGGATCCTTGCTTCAGGTCACTAGCACTGTGATCTGGGTTGGTCAACCTGTCAGAAACAGCAAAGAAAATACATAAGACACATAACTCCATATTGGGACTGAGGAGAAGACCGTGACCTTGTTTCACTCGCTTTGTCCTGCTTAGGTAAAGATCAGCTCTTTCTTGCACACCTGAAGGATGTGAGGGGAAGTATCTGGCAGTGAGTCTGAAGACCCTGTCAAGGTCTGGACAAAAGACAAAATCTCTTTCCTCACTTTCCAGTCCATTAAACCAGCCAGAAAAGGGCTTTGACCAGAAGGCAGGAGGAGGACAGGACTATTTCCAGCAACATAGGAAAGAAGCAACAGAGTTGCTCTGCATCTTCCCCTCCTGCTCCCCTGCACAGCAGAGGAGAGTCACCATGGAAAAAGGAGAGGACAGAAGCACCAGGAAGAGATGCTGTGAGTTCCCAAAAGGCAAGCCCCAGAACAGAAAATGGAGCAGTGTGTGATAAAGGTAGTTAAATGTTTACCATACACACCCCTTATTGTATTGTACGCAACAAATACGCACACACATGTTCACTTACTAGACAGATGTTGGAGTACAGCTGTGTGTTGAATAGAGGGAGCCAGAGATGACTGAGGATGGAAAAGAGGGCAAGGTGGTAGGGTTGAGAGGCAGGTAGGGGTGGGAGGAAGATACCAACAGATGCACAAGGGCTGAAAGCAATAAAGCAAGCAAAAGAAGTCTGCAGAAAGGCATGAAAGGCCAGTGGGAAAGGAGGGGGGATCATGCCAGATCCTGTCTGTTTTCTACTTGCAGAAATCAGCCAGACACAGGGCACAGAGGTAGAGCCATCACTTTAACAGAGCGATTGCTCCATAATGGCTTCTCTCTGGAGAACAGCAGAGAGTCTGGATCTCATTCTCCCTGACAGCTCCAGTCTAGATATGAAGATGGCGCCATGTAAATCCATTTCATAATATTAATTCTCTCCTTTCTAGTCTACCTTGCTGCTTTGCTCTCTTTTGAAGCCCAAACCCTCTATTCTGCCCAACCTCTCCAGCATCCCAAAGCCAATGTCAAGTGTCCACATGCAACATCAGGGAGCATCACTAACCTCCCTGCATCACAACGCTTAGTAACTCCTCCACAGTCAAGATGAAAAGTTGGGAGAGAAGGTCCTTTCACAGCAACTCTACCCAGCAGCCCCCATAAGACACTGAGATGGGGCTGCAGCCAAACATCTCAAACTCCCCTTCTCTGTCATGCTGTCTGGAGATGACAACCACATTGAGCTGAACTAGCATCCAGTAGGTTACAAAGCCACCTACAAGCCAGCTGGGAAGTGCTAATGTCACACCAGACCACATGAAAGGAAATTCCTCTCATGTGCAGCGTATCAGCCCTCTGTCCGCAGAGAAGCTCCCTGCTTTCCACCACAGAGGTGTTATTTCACACTTACTCAGGATGAGGAAGAGGGTTTAGTGGGACACAGGAGCACTGCATGCTGTGCCCACCTTCAGACACCCTGGTGAGGAGCACTCTGTGCCCTAGACGTTCATCTTATGTGCACTAGAGTGACAGCGTGGTCTAGTGAGCAGAGCAGGGGATCACCAAATCGGTACTCAGGCAGATGTTCTCCATGCCCATGTCTCTAATGGAGTCTTTCAGCACACTTTCAGCTGCAGTTCATCCTCCTGCTGGTATTTGTTACAAGTCTCTTCTCTGCTTTGCACAACCTGGCATTTCAAATACACACTTACCAACCACATCCTGGTTTCTTTAAAGGGGAAAGGTAAGTATTTGAGAGGTGCAAATGCTTGTATGTAGAAAATGCACAAGCCTATACACTTCTGCACAGGAAAAAGTGTCCACTGCCTGGTAGAAACATATCCTATTGAATGCAGTCCTATTCCTTTCAGACATGCAGTATTGGATAGTAACTCCCAGCCTTTGAAGACAGTGAAGGAAAAAAAAAATTCAGGTTTGTAAAGCTACGTGAAACCACAAGATGGAAACTGTCAGGCAGGTGTACAGAGAGTCATCAAAAATTTGATTCAATGGCATCTTTAGTAGCAATTTTTCCTTTCCACTATGGAAGAACAGTGCCATGTAGGCAAACCCCATTCATCCCTATTACTATTCTAGCTGATACACCACTGTGATCAGAAGCACAGGGCTCTCATATATTTAGGGTCACTAATAATGTATTTTGTCTTCTGTGCGTGCTTGTTCAAATGAGAGCTTTCAATCATCTCTGTTCAAGAAACATTAAGAAAAAAGATGTATCAGGTCATCTAAATCTTCCTCTCCAGTGGAGGGTCATGCCTCTCCTCTTCCCCCTGCTTTGTTTATATGTAGTCCAATTGAGAGTCTCAAGTAGCAGAAATATTCTCCTTTCTTACAGCAGACTTCAGAAAAGTCTGATGGAGAGCTGTCTTAAAGACTTGCTGCATGCATAAAGAATCTGTCTGGTTTGTTTTTTTATTTTAAATGTGATTCCTTTGTATCTAGCTAGAGCAAAAGAATTAGCATGTGAAAAATATGAATAAGGAAAATAAAAACCAGGCACCTTCTCTGAGGTTGATGCAGAGGGACAGACATTGACAGCAGCACCAGGGAATCCAACAGTCCTTTAGCCTGCTGGTGAATTTTCAAAAGACTAGGCCCAGCAGACTATGGATCACCTGGGCTCAATATATTTCTAATATGAAAACAAAAATAAACAAGAGCTTAATGTGGAATTTCTCCTGGTTGTTGTACTGGTCTTACATTCTCTCTAATCTCTACTGGCTGCTATCAGAGACAAGACCCTGGATTAGACACGATCTGAGCAGCCTAGCAGCTCATGGGTGCCCCTCCCACTACACTGCACTGAGATACACCCTTGGGGCTTTAGACTTTCTGGCTCCTCAGTTTAAGCAGCAGAAGTGACTCTGCTGGAATTTAGCTTTTAAAACAAATTTTATTTTAAATCCAACCCGCATCACAGCTTCCTCCCCACTTCAGTGTTTGTATGCTTTGGGGCCCCAATGGTGGTATATTTTGCAAATGATTTTTTTTTTCTTCCTTGTATATTTGTACAATCACACACATGCTTGTATAAAGCCACTTAATCAAGCATAATTAACAAGAGTTTTCACTATATACTGACACAGAGATCAGGAGGAACACAAAGAATTCCTATCTAACATTTTATACACCACAAATAACACCAAAACAGATGTAAAACAAGCCAATTCCTCATTACTTAACACAACACAAATCTCTGTGCATTAAATACAGCTGAAAGGGAGCTGTGGAGTTGGCATTAACCTGACAGATGTTGAGATGAGCTACATCAGAACTTAGTATCTCAGCCTGAAACAGTGCATGTTAAAAAGGCATCTGCTTTTTGTTTGATATGTGTATTTATTTACATAGACAGCTTGCTGACATGCTGAAAGGTTGGGGAGGGTGGTGTAGGCTGGCATTTTAACTCTCAGCAGGCATTGAGCATGCAGTTTATTATCCTTTGGTCATGTCACAAGCTTCCATTTTATTGCTGAGTGGTGGCAAAAGAGGGGAGCAGGGAACAGAATCAGGGTCCCCTCCACTGTTCAGACTTAATTCCCCTCCAGGAGCTTGCCCTCAGCACAGAAGGCAGCATTTCTAAGCTCAGCCTCCACAGGCGTGCTGCCCCTAGGGCTCACCTTCCAACTTCTGAGGCTTCTGTGCCTTTGATACAGACATGAGAAGAGTCTCTGAAAAACAAGTCAAGCACAGCTCCTTGTGCATAGAAAGAGATCTTTTTTAACAAGAAAGAAAATTAATTAAGTGGGTAAAATCCCACAGGTTGGAACAGGAGCTGAGGAATTATCTTCCTATCAGGTTGGTAATGAGGACTGAAAAACCTCACACAGACATTAACAGCTTCATATGGGCTCATTGGCATTCCAGATCAGATGTGAGGCATGGCATTCCCACGAGCACCAGATGCAGCTCCAGTTACAGACCAGACTATGGGCAAACCACATTTTGCCCTGCTGAAAACAGTATTCTCGTGATGTCTGAAAATTAAAGGTACAAACCTATCCACAGAATAACTTTTTCTCACAGAAATTGTGCTCAGGAAGACTGTAGGTCACAACATCCAATGCCCTGGGTTGTTCCAACCCACCTCTGAAACCTGTGTTTAGATATATAAGTGTGTGTATGAGAGAGAGATTTATTCAACATGCTGTGGGGAACAGCCAGCACACGTCTAGGTGCACATCAAATGACACAATCAGACACTTACCAAAATCCACGACTTCTACCCTATTGATTTCTCCACCAACACTGCTGGCTGCTTAACTGTTAACAATCACAAGTATTACTCAATACTAATAAAATAATATGGATTATTTCCTATTCCCTGAAGTGGAAAAACTACCTGATTTGGGGTCGATGACAAGAATGGCAAGCATGATGCATTCATGGTAACCACAAAGAACCACAGAGCTTACTGAGACCACACTGAACTGTGCCAAGCTGTTCAAAGCTGCATTTCAGAAATGCCTTAACTTCCCCTGCTACTGAGGCAAAGGAATTTGTCCCCTACCTCAAAAAGAGAAAGAAAGAAAAAAAGATGTGAACTACTGACCATCTGTCTCAAAACACGCCTTTGGACATCCTCCTGCCCTTTTGTTACTGTTCATATCACAAGAGTCCCTTGAGGCCCCACAGAACCAAGGTTTTTACTGTGTGGAGCATAAAGGAGCCCCCTGCCAAAAAAGCTTGCTGCCTAAACAGACAAAAACAGGAAAAAAGAAAATACCACTATTTTCCTTGTTACAGATGGGAAGAGAAATACTAGTGGTAAAGATGAGACAGGAAGCCAGGGACTACCTCAGAAGAGAACATCTTCAGTCTCAAGCCTATTCTTTCAGTATGGCCATCGCTGTTTCTTCCTTTCTCTTTCTCCTGTCTTTCCCTGAAATTTGTTTCTTTTACAGCTTGTAAAGTCCATCCTTAAAAGCAAAGTCAACAGCCTACTGATATGATTCTCATTTTCAGGGTTAGGTGGTTCAGGGATTCTGA